GGGCATACATTAATTGCAGAGCCATTATCAACCAGGCTCATAGGAACATTCATCTGCCTACACACCACAGTGAGGTGTAAGGCCTTGTTATGTTGGTCCCCTTCCGGGGGTAGATCCTTGTTAGAAAAGGAATTCAAATTATTAGTACTTGGCAACTCAATAGTGAGAAAGTTGACTAGTCCTTGAGGAGTCATATCATCATCAACTACTATTTTCACTAGAGAATTCATCACAGCCTTGCAATGCTCGTGAGAGGTGGCCAAAAGCTTCCATACATTCATTTCCACCTTGATCTTTTGTAATTGTTTGACCATATCGTTGTTCATGGGATCGATGGGATCAACTATTGGTTGTGATTGCGGTGGAGGTGGAGGTGGACTAGGTGGTTGCAACCGTCCACTTCTGGTGAGAACCTTGACTTCAAGGTATCCCCAAACATCTTCACTTGTGCCAAGAGATGAACAGGCTATATCCTTGAGATAGACGTCTTCATCATCACTATCCCAAATTCCATTCACTTCTTCATAGCTTGAGACAAATACGACTTCTGGCAAAGGTTCATTCACAGGTTGAATGAGTATTAAAGGATCAAAGGAGACTTCATCTCCCATGATAGCCAAAGCATCAGGAAGAGGACTTGTTTGAATGTTAGGCTTGTTGCCCCCTGGAGGGACAGGAAGTTGATTAGCATCAATTAGGTCTTTGATCGCATCCTTCAACCTCCAACACTTCTCGGTATTATGACTCTTGCCTTGATGAAACATTCAATAATCATTGGGGTCATAGCTAGCGGTTCTATTCTCTGGTCGAGGTTCTGGAAATGGTCCAATTGGCATAATCAGTCCTTGACCATGCAAACGGTCAATCCCAGCATCATCATTCATTCCCAAAGGCGTGTAAACCCTCCTTTTCCTTTGGATTCTTTGAGGAGGAGCATTAAGGGCCAACACGTCATTGATATTGATATTGTAGGTAGCATTATTGGGTTTGGAAGACGAAGAAGAAGGAGTTTCGTTCTTCTTGTTTTTCCAAGTGCTGTTATTATTGTTGCTACCAGTAGTCTTCATTAGTTCATCCTTGATATTGATTCCATTATCGTATACAGCTTCGAAGGTACTCAGAGGCAGAAACTTCAAGTGTTGCTTGTACTTATGAGTCAAATTGGCAATGAACAAGCGAACCATCTCTTTTTCCTTGGGGGGATCTACCAAGAGCGCATCTATTTCCCTCCATCTGCTTAAGTAAGTGGTGAAGCCTTCATTCTCTTTCTGTTTGAGAATGGAGAGTTTACGTTCAAAAGTTTTGGCCTGAATGTTACACTTGTAACGATCCATGAAGCTTCAGCAACATCCTCCCAGGTCGCAACATGTTTGGATTCCAAAGAGTAGAACCATTGTTGACAGGCATGCTCTAAGGAAAGAGGGAACACCGTAGGGAAGAGTGTCACATCTACTCCCTTAAGAGCCATGGTCACAGAAAAGGCCTTCAAATGGAAGAGTGGATTATCAGTAGGCTAGAATTTGGGAATGCCAGCAGTGGAAAAACCTAATTTGGGAATCCGTTATGGACGAAGAGGCGACATATTGCTCTACATAAGTGAATTCTTCAAAAATCTTACTCATCTGCTCCTTAATCTTGTCCATTGCAGCGGCAGTGACATTGTTCTGATTGTCTTGCTCTACCATGTTGACTCTAGTAGTGAGTGTTTACATCATGTTAGACAACATTTCAATTGTCCTGTTGATGTTCTCGATATCTTCCTTAGTAGCCATTGGTTGAAAGTAGACTGGAGATGGATCTTGTGGAGATGATTGTGGTGGTTTCCTTGTACGCCTCTTTGGTATAAGAGGTTGTTGAGGTATTGACTCGAACCGTAACATTCTACCCTTGCTTCTTGACCAAGTGCTGTGACACCGAAACAAACACAACTTTAATGACCAAAATTAACCTTGACCCATTTGGAAAATAAAAAAAATTTGAATTTTAAAATTCAATAATTTTGATATTCAATTTATTTATTGTTTAAAAAAATATGGGAGGATACCATCTGACTTACTTCGAAAAAAACGACACAAAAAAAAATGACAAAAGACTACCCTAAAATACGGTCATGAAATGGTGCACGACTAACGGAATGAAGTGTGTGAACACGACATGTGAGTGATTAAGTGAGGTTATGGACGCGTGTTATGACCGTACATCTAGACATGACACCAAACTGGACACATAAACCACATATGTATGCACAAAAAACCAAAAAAAAAACTAACAGGACAGTTCCCCTGGGCACCGTGTCACGGTACTGACTGTCGTGACACGGTGCAGTCTACCGTCAAACGGTAAAAAGCACCGTGTCACGGCACTGTTCACCGTGGTGCGGCAGGAATTGCCGTGACACGGTGCTCAGTTCCAGGTCTTTTTTGTGAGTTTTTCCAAATTTTAGTCGATTTTAGGTCCGTAATAATTACTATGTGAAAATAAAAACCCTCGGTCATGGGTTAAACAAAAAGAGAGGGTTAGCACCAAACAAACCATGTAGCATTTAGTCACGATGATTTTAAAAAGTTCGCAACCTAGGGTCAAGATCTATGTTCAACTATTGGTCAAACTTTGGGTGTCAAAAGGGTACCATGGTTAAGAGTTTGGACGTGTTAGCAAGGCAGCCTCCCTTGAGGGTGTATGCCAACGAGCGGCTCCGCGAGTTCGGGATGAAATCGAAATCGACTCCATGGTTTGGGTGGATTTAATAACTCTGATGAACCCTTATTGTCATGACGGTTTTTGGGTTGATAGAGCTTAAAACCCCCGGGGCTAAGACGCATGTAAAACACACACGTTTTTTCAAAAAAATCGAAGGAAGTTGACTGTGAGAGAGAAAACAAGCCACCAGACTGATTTTAGGACTGCCGTGACACAGTAGAGATTCCCTTGCCACGGTACTGCACACCGTCAGTCAGTGTACTGCACTGTGACACGGCAGATTCTGCCGTGGCACGGCAGTCAGAAAATCTGAGTGGTGCCCTGTTTTCCTTCGTACGCAATCAAGTTATTCAATTTTTCCTACGGGACAGACCTAAACGCGACGTTAAAACGTCTATGCTTATGCAAAAATGCCAAATTAATCACAGGAATATTTTTCAAAAATCATAGGAATGCACTCACAGGAAGTGGGAATTGACATAATAGGATTAGGGACAAGGAAAGTAGGGAGCCTCCAACAAGTTTTTAAGGAACTTGTAAACCGTGGGAATTGACATAATACGATTAGGGACAAAGAAAGTAGGGAGCCGCCAACATGTTTTTAAGGAACTTCTAAACCGTTCACGGATCATAAAAGGCAACCACGAATAAGGGACAACGAAGGCAACAACGATTGACCCGTGAAGGTTACACCCCATTCATAATCCATGAGATTACTAACTCCATATGATTCGAAACCACGAAAGGAGGATCGGGGATGATGGTACGAAGTGAGTCATGGAGTCACATTCGCCCGTATTAGCCTCTACTCGATTCTTATAGTGAAAAGTGATTCATGCGATCTCAAAGGCATACAAACAGAGATTCAATTTGCTCTAAACTATTATTAAACTAAATTGGTTGAATATTAATGCACCACATAATTCTAAAGAATTAGTGATCACTTGATTAAACAACAAGATTAAAAAGGAACCTAAACCTGTTGTCCAAATTATTTTTTATTAGACGTGATTTTCAATTACATATTCCCTTTAAACATGCAATATGGTGATCAATAAAAAATAATAATAGAATTCTCACTAATATTGGAAGCAATTTAACCATAATTCCAACAATATAAAATCGTTAGAAAAATAATAGAAATAAAAGGAACATAATTCTTACTTTGATTCTGTTTGCTTGCAACTACAAAATGATAAACGAGTTAGTAACTTCAAGGAAATAATAATAGAACAATAATTAAATTAAATTAAATAAAGTAGAGTTGATTTGGGGCCAAACCCTCAAACAGTTCTACCTTTCATGCCTTGGCTTAAGGACAAAACCACGAGTAAAGTATGGAATCCAAGGAGTGCTTGAAGAAGGAATTTTGAAAGAAGAAGGGTAGGCTAGTGTTTAGGCTAGAGCATAGGAGAGAGAAAAATAGAGAGTTAATTCATGCCCCGTACATCAGAAATGAGGGGGTATTTATAGAAAAAAATGTGCCGAGGGAACACACGGAACCCTAAAATAATAAAAACCCTAAAAAAGTCTACCGCGACACGACAAAGTGTACCGTGACACGGGAAATCCCACCGTCAGACGGGAAACATTCCCGTGACACGGTTTACTTTTGTGTGACGCGGGAAATATTTAGTGAACGGGGGAGAAAACATTCCCGTGACACGGTTTACTTTTGTGTGACGCGGAGACCCCTGTATCATAGCAGGTGTCCCGTGTCACGGGAAACCCCCCCGTCAGACGGGAAATTTTCCCGTCACATGGTGGACTGTTGCCGTGACGCGGGAGTTTTCACTCCGCTTTTCTATCTAAATTCATTTTTAACCCTAATTTTGTTCAGCATTTTAAGTGCCGATTGATAATTTCAGGCCATTTCTGTTTTTTTTTTATTTTTATTTGGGCTAAAATAAGAAAATAAGTAAAATAAAATAAATAAAAAGTTTGGGCCAAAATAAATAATCAAACAATAAAATAAAAAAATGTTTGGGCTAAATTAAATAATAAAAACAATAAAAAAAAGGTTTGGGTTGGAATAAAAAAAAAACTATGCTTTGACCAAACATCAAGACTGATCCATGGACTATTCAAAATAGAATTTAATTAAATACGATTTTTTAAGCACTCTCGGGATTAAATACTGAACCCGACCAATAATGGCGGCGAAAGGTTATTCATCATCGGGTTTGGTTTTTGGGAGACATTTTTAGGTGTCTACAGTCGGACTCTAAGAGTTCCTTTCACCCGGCTTTTACTGTTTCTAATATCAAAAGTAACATCCCCATAACCCCTTGAAATGGAGAATGTTTCTTAATCTACTTGGGCGGAACCTATTCAAAGTACACGCTCGATCTCACAAGGTTCTCGACCATATCATTGCTTTGAAAAAGAAGGTCGCTGCCTCTTCAACTGATGAGGAAAAGGAGTTTTGGGTGACATTGGACGCAACGGTTCTTGGGTGGATTTATTCTACAATTTATAAGGACATGTTAAACACCATTATTGAACCTGATTCCACGGCAATGGAAGCTTGGGATCGCTTGCGTGACATTTTTCAAGACAATCAAAACTCCCTTGCTGTGGCTCTTGAATATGAGTTTTCTAATACTCATATGTAGGATTTTCCTAACGCTTTGGCGTATTGTCAACGACTTAAAACTCTCTCCGATCAATTGAAGAATATAGGGGCTCCGGTGGAAAACAATCAGCTTGTTCTTCAATTGGTTTCAGGTCTAACCGAACCATACAAGGGTGTGGCTACTTTGATTCGGCAGAGTAATCCCTTACCACAGTTTTACCAAGCCCGTTCCATGCTCACTTTGGAAGAAGCCAGTTTGGCGAAGAAGGCTGCATCGGCAACGACTTTGGTGGCAGGGTCATTGCGTGAATCTAATTCGGGGAGTGAAGCAGGGCCTTCTCGCAACAAGCAGAAAAATCAGGAAAAAAAAACGGTGGCCGAAAGCAGTTTGCTGGTGGCGGTACAGGTGGTCGCGGTTTAGGTGTTGGTGGAAGTCAGACCACCGGGGGTGGTCGCGGTGGTCCGGGCCAGCAACACTAGGGTCAGCAGCAGGGGTGGGGGTCGTTCCCTTCTCCTTGGCAGAATCAATTTCCACCTTGGGGGTGGGTTCCTCAATGGACCAATCCTCGTTGTCCATACCCAACCCAAGGGTGGGCCAGACCTCAAGGCCCAATGAAGAAGCAGTCCGGTGTACTAGGCCCTCGTCCTTAACATGCTTATGTAGTTTCATAACAGTCCTATGTTCCGACAGATATGGAATCGTCTATGCACACCATGACATGGAGCCAACCCGATCCCTCGTGGTATACGGACACCGGTGCAACTTCACACATGATATCCTCTAATGGTAATCTCTCGTCTTATTTTAATTTGAGCAATCATCATAATGATATTGTTGTTGGTAATGGTCATTCAATTCCAATTCGTGGTTGTGGTCAAACTACTTTGTCGTCCTCGAACCCGCCCTTGTCCCTTTCTAATGTCCTTCATGCACCTAAATTAATCAAAAATCTAATTTCTATTAGGAAATTTACGACTGATAATTATGTGTCTGTTGAGTTTGACCCTTATGGTTTTTCTTTGAAGAATTATCGGACGGGGATGCCAATAATGAGATATGATAGTCAAGGAGATCTATACCCACTCACTTCCACCTCTTCACACTCCTCTCCATCGACCTTTACAACTTTAGCTTCCTCTCTTTGGCATGATCGATTGGGACATCCGGGGTCTTCCATTTTAAAGGCTCTTAGTAGTAATAAAAATATTGAATGTACTCATTCATCAAGTTCTAGTATTTGTCAATCTTGTGTACTCGGAAAGCAAATTAAGTTGCCGTTTATTTCTTCTAATACAAGTACTACTTTACCTTTTGATATTGTTCACAGTGATCTATGGTCTTCTCCTGTTTTGAGTTCTTCGGGTCTTCGATATTATATGCTTATCATGGATGATTTTTCTAAGTTTTTAAGGACTTATCCTTTAGCTAGAAAATATGATGTTTTTGATAAGGCCTTAGCCTTTTAAACCTTTATTCGCACACAATTTGATCAACCTATTAAAAATTTCCAATGTGATAACGAGAGGGAATATGATAACGGACCGTTTTTGGGCTATGTTTGAGTATAATGGCATGTCTTATCGTCTTTCTTGTCCACATACGTCATCACAAAATGGAAACACAGAGAGAAAAAATAGATCATTGAATAATATTATCCGCATTCTTCTTGCAAATGCATCCCTTCCACCATCTTTTTTGGCACCATGCATTGCAAATGACAACTTATTTGCATAATATTCTACCGAGTAAGCTACTTGAGCACAAATCCCCTCTCCAAATTCTCTATCAAAAAGAACAATCTTATTCTCATATCCGTGTTTTTGGGTGTTTGTGATAACCCTTAATTCCATCCACCACTATTAACAAGCTTGAACCTCGTTCCACACCAAGTGTATTTTTAGGTTATCCACCAAATCATAGAGGTTACAAATGTTATGACTTATCATCTAATAGTATCATTGTAGACACCCATTTGTGTCTCCCCAAAACCAAACCCAGTGATGAGTGCCTTTCACGTCGAATCATAATCGAATGAAATGAAAGTGTGGAAAGATCTAGTGTTGCGGAAAGTTTTATTTCTTTTCTTTTCTTTTCTTCTCTTCTCTCTGTTTTTTAAAAACTTTATTTTAAGAAAACAGCCAATCCAGTTTGATTGGTCCATGATATGGGTCCAATAGTGGTGTAGTTGGATGGGGCTTGCAAAGACCTTTCCAACGATATATTATAAGCCCAATTCCGATGAATATTGAGGAAGTTATGGCCAATTTACTAAACTGGGCCCGGTTTGAGCTTTAAGTACGGCCCAATGATCTAGGGGAGGGCCTAATATGATTTATCATTCCTAATGTAATTAGGAATGGTTTTAGTCTTCTAGAAAATTCTATAAGGTCTTATCATTCTTAATTCAATTAGGATTCTTCAGAGATTTAATTAGATCAAATAGCATTTTCGACTGAAATTATATTATTTTATCTTCCAGTACAATAAAATTATCAGATTTTCGAAAACGCGTTAAAATCCGGTTTGGCGTCCAACCCCAGGCCTTGGCGCCTGGAATCAGGATTGGTGCCAGACGCCAGCCATTGGCGCCTGGCGCTAGCCACTGGTCCTGGTGCCAATGAGCCAAGGCTGGCGCCAAGTTAGTTTTGTGATCTTCAGACTCTGTTTTGATAAATTATCTTTTTTGGATGTTTTTCTCTATAAATATCGTATCATAAACTCCGTTTTCAATAATCATCTACATCTACCATTCACCAATTCTTTTTATTCTTAAGTTTTAATAAACTCCGTTTTCATTCATCATCTACAATCATCAATCGTCAACAATTACTTTATGAATCATTAATCTTTTAGCATTCTTTCTAAACTTTGCTCTTTAATACAAAATTCCGCATTCACTAGATCTTGATACACCTAGCCATATTCGAAGTTGCCTTCGCCCTAGACGTGAAAGAAAGAGGTACGAGGCATCCAAGTAAGTACTTTAATGGTTTAATTGATTTATGATGTAGATATCATGCTTAGATTGTTATTTATGATTCCTAGTATCATGTCTAGGGTATCTTTAATATTAAGTATGATTAAAAGTATGATGCTTCCTATGTTCTTTCTAATGTTTATGATTATTTATTATTATTATGATTATTTATTATGTTGCTTGATATGTATATTATATATTCTTATTGCTTGATCACCTTTTATTGCAGGTTAAAGGGAATTGGTATTTGCAACCACGCTTAATAAGATAATTAATAATCTTGTTAGGTTAATTGTGATTATAATTTCAAGTGATCGCCAATAATAGATTTGTTTGTGCATTAATATTCAACCAACATAGATAAACAGGTTTAGGGTTAATCCTATTGATTGTATGTTAGTCAGAAAGCGCACATGAATACGATCAGAATAAAGTAGAGACCTATTATTAGGGTAGGTTCAATCTCTTTTAGGTTGGATTTGTAACATCATCCCCGAACCCTTATTTGGTTCATGACCTTATGGAGTTAACGATCTCTTGGATCGTTAAGGGATGTAACCTTCACCTCGTGAACGGTTTACAAGTTCCTTAAAAACTTGTTGGCGACTCTTTTGCTCTATCTTCTTCCCTTTTGGACGCCACCGTACTTTAGTGTATGATCACAGTGGGGTTTGAGCTATTGGGATTTTTAAGGCTTGAAACTATTCCCTACAGTTTTTGGCGACTCTGCTGGGGAGAATTTCTATTTCAATTCCTGAACTTGTTTCGGCAATGATTTAGAATGAGTGGATGAGACTTGAAAAGTTCTAAGTATTTCATGTGCATAATTTTGATTAACATTATTCTCATATGCATAAAAAGGTTCTCATTGGAAAGACCATCCGTAATGAGTCAAAAACATAGGATTTTACACGTAGGAAATTTGAGAAATGTCTTTCACAACTAGGACTGAAATAACATCGCGCGAAACTGGATAATTTTATTGAGCACAGAAAGCTGTTGAGGCATGTGGGAAGTAGCGTCAGGGGCCAGAGCTTGGTGCCAAACTTTTATCCGTAGCGCCAGACGCCAGTATTGGCGCCAGGCGCTACAGTTAAAAGTTGGCGCCAGTCTCTGTTTGCTGGCGCCAATTTCCCCCAATACCGAGCCAGAAATATGCGTTCTAATTTTGACCGGTTTTTCGTATTGTTTGCTCGATCCTACTTCCTGATTGAATTTTTTCTCATTTTTCTGAAACCCATATGTGTTCTACATATGGACATAACCCTCTCGGAATTCATGCTCTATCTACCCGATTGAATGCTCCTGGCAACAAAGGGTACATCTGAGAGGTTGAATTCACCAAACCATGGAAGCGAGTTTTTTCTAAAAACTCACAGTGTTCTATCCACACGCGTTAACCCTTCACGGTTAGGCTTCTACGTGGTGCATCTGAACAATTAACCATGGACCCTGTTTGACTACACCATATCCCGAACTTTAGAGAACTAGAGCCATGGTTAGGCTGCGAACTCATTGCATCATATTGTGCTTACTTGCCTAATTGTGCATTATTTGTTGTGCATATATATTCTATGCTCCTCCTAACCGTTTGTTGATTTGTGTTGAGATTATAATTAATGACTTAAAGAACTTTGCCTAATTAATTAATTAATTAATTAATTCGAGTCAATAAAGTTTTTTTCTTCTTTTAATTGGAATTGACCTAGTACGACTTTAGGCATACCCCAGTTGACTAATAATATCGAAAACAGTCCCAGACCGAGGCTCTAGTATTGGTGCCAAAATCTGGGTTGTAGCGCCAGTGTATGGTGTGTAGCGCCAGACATTTACTAAAAAGTCTGGCGTCAACCACCATATTGCGACGCCAGTCCTGTCGCTTGGCCGACAGTTCGGATTATTTGTCGAGTCATCACCTAATGTCTAATTAATCAGTTTCCTGTTTAATTCGGTTAATTTTGCTGGCAATAATGCTTAATTGAATCAATACTCGAGTTTAGGCACTACGTCCCATGGTCTTACACAAGAGTCCAAGCATGTCACTTACACTCAATACACACACTAATACACATGTCTTGACCATAATTAAGGGAGTCTTGGTGCGCGCGTTATTTTTCGTCATTTTTTAGGGGGGTAAGTCGGATATTAATCCTCCAATAAATAATAGTACTTAAGTTCCCTAAACACATGTACATTATTGCTCCCTAAAAATATGCATACCTTTTTTTTTAATAAAAAGCCATAAAGTCAAACTGATTCGAGTTAAGTAATTAAAACGCAAACTGGCTTAATTTACAGCGCGTGGGCAAGAAAGGAAGGACGATTAATCAAAGATAACCTCTTCGTACAAGTCCAACTTTTTGACAAACCTATAGCTCGTATGAGGAAAGCAAGAGTTATAATGGCAACTCAGGAAGAAGTTAATGATCTCAAGAACCAACTG